GCCGTATTACTTTGACATTTGAAGCCGACTTGTGGCGGGTGTGCTTGACCCTGTTGGCACGGATGGCCGTCCGCATGGCCTTCTTGAGGCCGATAGGGATGCATTCCTCGCTGAGATAAGCGTGCTGTACGGCACGAACGATGAGGGCGGACACATAAAAAAGACAATATGAGAGATCAACTTATTTCAGCGGTATAAAAGCATCCACGGACAGCAACATGGACGACATCGTGCATCCTTCTTCCCGTGCTTACCGTGACGCCTGTTTTATCTATCTCCTTGACGAAGTCGCGCCAAGTGGACGGCTTGATCTTGGAGTTCTCCCCCGCATTCAGACACCATATGTTGCCCCTTCGCAGCACCTTGGCCAGCATCATAATCTGTTCGTCTCGCAAACCATTGCTAACGTTCTGAATGTAGAGAGCTTGACAGTTGTTGTTGAGCATCAACGCCTCCAGCACGGCATCTATGACAGGCGTGCTTACGTCCGCTGGGATGTAGTTGTGAAGCTTCAGAACCTCTACCTCTGGGTCGTCCGTCCGAATTTGCGCGAGCAGGCGAACCACGCTGGGCGGTTCCAGCGCAGAAGACCCCACCACCCTGCTCGACCGCCTGGGCACGGGGATGGCGTCCTCCTATGGAACCAGTGGACAAAAGACAAGAAGTCGATACAAAATGCATCTCCGCGGTGTGGGGCGACTCGGGTCGCACATGCCTATCTTGTTGCCATATGCGCTCCGGGTTTGCTCGCATTCATTTTTAGCCGTCTATCTTTCAGCAATAGCAACCCATTCTGTTTTTTCGCGCAAGCTCAAGTTCCAGACACAACGCGCTTTTGAATCGCTAACACCTACCTCGTGTTCGTCACCACCTCCGTTCTCGCTCCCGTTCGCGCTCCCGCTCCCGCCGCCGCCGCCGCCGCCGCCGCCGCCGCCGCTGCTACTGCCTGGCGCCACTGCTAGTGCATCGCTTACAGCTTCCCCCTGCTCCACTTCGCCACCGTACACCCGAATTTGGTCGAGCAAGTCGTGCGAACCCCGGCTCTCCTGCACGCGCGGGGCTTCACCCGTCTGTTGTGCCACACCAACCGACCCGCTAGACGTCAGCATCACGTCGGCGGCGCCGGCCTCTCCCGCTGCCTGCACCCCCACATCACCTGCCACCAAGGCCTCACTCGCCGGAAGAGGTTGCTCATGCTCCGTGTCTTGTCCTGGCGTCGCCGTCTCGACCACGGCCTGCGGAGATGCAGACGCCGCCGCCACTGCCTCGTCTGGCTGAGTGCCAGTTACCTGTGTGGCCGCGAGCTCTTGCGAAAGGTCCGGTGCATCGTCTCCGATCGGAACCGTTTCCAAATTGAAACAAGTGGTCAAAAGGGTGGAGCGGGGAAAAGCGAAGGGTGGAGGGGTATCGGTCTTCTTTCCGCCTGTCATAGTGTCTAACACAGGGAGGGCTCAACAATCGCTCTTTTGTTTTTCTACATATTCACCCATGCTTCGAAAATCAACACTCACATCGTGATTGGCTCCATCGCCGCCACCGCCGCTCTCGATCCCTCGACAACTCTCGTTTTCCGCGCGCAGACAGACGGTGGCGAGGAGCTGTAGGTTGCTGGATGACGCCATCTTTCGTCCTCCTGCTCCTGCTGCTCCTGCTGCTCCCGCTGCCGACACCGATATCGCGGCGTCTTTTGACGTTCCACTCTCACCGCCTCCACTATAACCGCCACCGCCGCTGCTCGAAATGGACCAACCACCCGTTGCTGGCGCCGTGCATTCCTCCACTCTCGCTAAAACGTCGACTGTCCCTCGTCCACCGCTCGCCGGAAAAGGCTGCTCACGATCCACCCCTTGTCCAGGCGTCACGACGGCGGCACCATCTGAGCCCGCTTCGGCCACGGGAACGGCTTGCTCCTATGGGACCGGTGGTTAAAAGAGTGGGCCGGTGACAGCGCGTGAAGCAGCCGATACGAATTTTCGGACAGCACGCATCTCTGTAGTGTGTGGCGGTACACTACCGGTCCGCTCACAGGAAAGCCGTTGTCAAAAAAGTAACTCGGGTCCCGTAGACACAACCTTTTTTGGTGCCGTTTTTTCTTTCAGCGAAAGCAATCGCCGCCTATTTCTTACGTACGAGTCCATCTTCAGACGCAATGCGCTCTGGAATCGACCAAACCCACCTCGCGTTCATGAACGCCTCCGCTCCCGCTTCCACCACCACTCACACCCCGTCTTGCCGCTGCTCCGGTGCCCGAACTGCCTTCAACGCCTTGTGGTGCCGCTGGTGCTGGTGCTGGTGCTGGTGCTGGTGCTGGTGCTGGTGCGGGCGCCCGCAATGTGTCTTTCGCCGGCTTTGGTGGTGGTGCCTGCTTCACCTCTTCGGCCTCTGGCACGGTGTCTACTGCCAACTCCCCGCCCGCTGCTGCCGCTGTTGTGTTTACTGCCAACTCTGGTGGTTCCCCTCCCCCTTCCCCCTCTACTCGCGCTCCTGCTAGTTGCGACGCTGCCTTCCTTACTTCTTCGCTCTCGTGTCCCACATTTCCCGTCGCTGCAAATGATGGCGGTGTGTCGTCTACCATCGACCCTGGTTCTTTCCCTCCCCCTCCCCGCTCGCACTTCTCTTCCTCGCCCGCCGCCGGTGATGCTGCCGCTGCTGGTGATAGCCACGGCCCTGTCCTCTTATCCTCCTTTGCCGCTGCTGTGTCTACCAACTGCCCCACCATCTGCCTTACTTCATCCTCGGCCGCCTTCGCTGCCGCACGTGCTGCTGCTGCCACGTTCAGCATTGTTGCGGCTGACACACGACGGCCTGTGAAATCCCTCGCGCGAGCAACCGTATTGGGTTTACCCATCCCTGGCTGCTTGTGCGTAAAGCAATGCGTACGAGAGCGCTCGAAACCATAGTTCGGCGTGACCTTACATCCTTCGGTGGCACATTCCCTGCGGATGATGACCATCTCCTCTGTGGCGTGATTGTCGCAATATTTGTTCTTCTTGTCTACCTTGTAGCCGCGTGATGGAGGTTTGTAACAACCGCGGATGGAACACTTCGGGACCTTCAGATTAATCATGTCGGCCTCTCTATGTTCCCTACACATGACGTCCCCTTTCGGCTTCCCGTGGGCATCTGGAAGGAAACAGGGGGAGTGTGGAGAAACAATTCACGCGAAAACCAACGTGATACAAGGGAGAACCTTTTTGTGATCCGTGGTTCAGGAGGAGACAAAGAGGGGAAAGCCAAAGTGTTTTGGGGGTGGAGCTCGTGAGTGGGAATCGGGGAAGCGGTACTTGTGCACTGGGGGTTCACCATACCGACGAGAGTGTAGGAATTGCGTGTGAACACTACAAGATGCTGATACACGCTGTGCGTGTGGGCCAATTTCGAAAAAGGCTGAGTTGATTGAAGGGTCGGAAGTTGAAAGCTTCACCAGGAACAGGGTAAATGAAGAGCTTGTTCATCGCTGCTGTAAGTAGAAAGTTGGCGCGACTACACAACGTATGTGACGCAGGGAAGGGGTCAGCAGTGGAAATTTCAAGTTTGCTTTTGTGTGTGCCTTTCGTTTTGCGAAAAAGGAAGAGCAGCGTTTTTGACACATCGATGCTTCTGCTAAGAGAGCCGGATGGGGAAAGAGGGAAGGAGAGAGGTACGGAGAGCGAGTGGGCAAAAAAGAGAGAGGGTAGAGCGAAAGGGAAACAGGGGAGCTGGAGAGAGGGAGAGAGACTGGAAAAGAGAGACTCGGTGTCACGACACGTTCACCATGAAGGATGGAGCCAACAACCTGCCCGCTCACCTCTGTAGCCAAACGATCCTGTCCGCTCGCAGCCGTCCTTCTTACAGTTCCATCCCATCTGGCGTTTTCGCGTGAGCCAGGGTCGTCTGACAAACGAAGGACGCGCGTCACCGCAGATGGTACTCTTGAACCCGCCCCGCATATGTGGAGGCACCGCATATGGTACTCTTGAACCCACTGCGCAACACAAAGGCATGCCTTGGCACCGACGATGGTACTCTTGAACCCGGCACTGCACCGCATAGGTACTCTTGAACCCGACACAACAGGAGAAATAGACGATAGCGAGGGCAAACGAGGCGGGGTGCTTGGACAGACCAGAGGGAGCGTGCGAGCAGACGAGAGAGAGGGGGAAAGCCTGTTGGCGGACGAGTCGGTGCGCGTGAGAAGAGAGGGAGAGCTTTGCCGCAGACCAGAGAGATCCATCAGGCGAGTTGGAGAAAAGGGTGTGTCCTGTGTGTGGGCGTGCGCGCGTATGGGCGTTCGCGTATTATGTGTGATATCTTGTGCTTCGTGCATGCTGCATACGTGAGAACAGAACGACAGCGAAAGAGCGAGCGAGAGAGGAGCAGTTCATAGCAGCAAAACAGCGGTGGCATTACGCGGAAGCAGCTAGTTCAGAGTCGAGATAGCAAAGCACGCTGGTGGCACAACAGTACAGATCACAGAGCAAGAGATGGAGAAAGGTATGTGTGTGGCGTGAGTCGGCGTGCTCGTGTTTGCGCGTGCGCGTGTCACGTGTCAAACCCTGTGCTTAATGTATGTTGCACGCGTGAGAACAGAAAGAGAGCGAGAGCGAGAGAAGGAGCAGTTCATAGCAGCAAAACAGCGGTGGCATTGCGCGGCAGCAGCGTTGGCTAGAAGATACGAGTATCACACAGGGCAATACTGTAGCCCGACCAGCCCGTCCTCTTAAGCTGCCAGCGACAAATCGCGAGAAACTTTACAGCAGTACCTGAACCACCAGTTGCTGGGCGATATTGCAGTAAAACTCACACCCTCAACAGGCACATTTCGTTGATTTTTCCTCGCACAAATGTTTTGCTTCGCGTTCCTCTAGTGGGGCCGACGGGAACCAACGGGAACCCGACGGTCGTGGTGTGATCAGAGGGAAAGGAATGGACACAATGCCAGCATCAGCAGCGCCCATGGAACAAGAGCAGACCCCTCCGCCAGCGCCTGTGATAGACTCGTTATCAACATCAGCATCGGTACACAGTGGAGCAGATGTACCGCGCGCGGAAAATGCGGTCGCGGCAGCGACTCCCTTGCCAACAGCGCTCTCGCCAATGGCGGGGACGATACAGGCAGCACGCCTGCGGTCGAGCCTTTTACCTCCGCCCCCTGTGCAGCAGCAGTTTGGTCTGTGGTGGGAGCGAAGGCATGCGGTGGTGGCAGCGGGGGAAAGAGGGTCGGCGACGGCGGGGGTAATTCGCGGACAAGTATGATGGGATTTCTGACGGTAAGCAAACAGCAGGTCGGCGACTGGTTGCAATCTTTTTTGGAGAACGAATGCACAATGATGCACCGTCCCTAGCCTCCTCTCGTTTGTGCTCACGCTATAAATCCCCCGTGTATTGAACGCCTTATCTCTTTAAATTTCTCTCCAACGAGCGGGACACGTTTCGGCTTGCTTGCATACTTCCGTGCTACGCCCAACACACGCATACTCTCAAAGCTTCAGCATGCACATGTGTCGTGCCCGTAAATTTTTGGATTAACGCGCACGCTGAAAAAACCGTTTCCATCGGAGCTTTGGGGCCGACGATCCGCGGATGGCCGTGACGCTTCAGTGTCTACGTGAGGTGGGCGGGCGGGGCAGGCGGAAGAGTTGCTTCGGCGTGCTGTGGAGGTCGAGGAGGCCAAGTAGGGGGCCGAGGATCCGCTGGTTGCCGAGACACTGCATGAGCTGGTTCTGTGCATGAGGGAAGCGGATTGGGCGGGGGAGACGGGAGCTTTGTTCAGACGAGCGCTGGAGATAGTGGAGGCCAAGTTGGGGCCCAATGATGTCCAATTTCCTTCCACGCTGCACCAGCTGGATGTGTGTGTACGGGAGGCGGGGCGGCCGGGGGAGGCGGGGCGGCCGGCGGAGGCGGAAGAGTTCTTCAAGCGAGTGCTGAAGATCGAGGAGGCCAAGTCGGAGCCCGAAGATCGCCAAATTTCTCGTACGCTGTATCGAATGGCCTGTGTGTACTACAGGCCGGGCGGCCATGGGAGGCGAAAGCGCTGTTGCAGCGAGTGCTCGAGATCGACCAGGCTATGTTTGGGCCTGACGATCCCGAAGTTGCCTACATCCTGCACCACATGGGCGTGTGCGTGCGGCAGGCTCGACGGCCGAAGGAGGCGGAAGCACTGTTTCACCGAGCGATGGAGATCTTGGAAACCCCGTGACACTGCATGAGCTGGGTGGTGTATGCGGGAGGCGAGGCGACCGGGGGAGGCGGACGCAATGTTTAGGTGAGAACTGGAGATCCGGGAGGCCAGGTTGGAAGTCGACGATCCATAAGGCACCCTGACGCTGTACAGGCTGGGTTTATGTGTTCCGGAGGCGGGGCGGCCGGGGGAGGCGGAAGCGTTGTTTCGGCGAGTAGTGGAGATCGAGGAAGCCAGGTGGGGTTCGACAATGCTTGAGTAGGCGTGATACTGAACACTGGGTCTGTATGTGCGGGGCGCGGGTCGCCAGGGGAGGCGGAAGCGCTGTATTTGCGAGCGCTGGAGAAAGTGGAGGTCAAGCTGAAGGCCGACCATGTGGATGTTGCCGCGTCGCTGCACGAGCTGGTTCGGAGTGTGCACGAGGCGGGAAGGCCGGGGGATGCAGTGCCATTGTTTGCGCGAGCGCTTGAGATCGAGGAGGCCAAGCTGGGGTCCGACGACGTCCAAGTTGCCAGTACGCTACACTGGTTGACTCTGAGCGTGCCGAAGGCGGGGAGGCCGGGGGATGCAGTACTGTTGCTTGAACGAGCGCTTGAGATCAAGGAGGCCAAGCTGGGCCCCGATGATGTGGGGGTTGCCGTGACGTTGCACAAATTGGTTCGTAGTGTGATGGAGGCGGGGAAGCCGGGGGATGCAGTACCATTGCTTGAGCGAGCGCTTGGAATCAGGGAGGCCAAGCTGGGGCCCGACGATCTGGGGGTTGCCAGTACGCTACGCCGGTTGGCTCTGAGCGTGCTGAAGGCGGGGAGGCCGGTGGATGCAGTACCATTGTTTCAGCGAGCGCTTGAGATCAAGGAGGCCAGGTTGGGGCCGGATGATGTGAGTGTTGGCTGCACGCTACACAAGCTGGCTGTGAGTGTGCGGGAGGCGGGGAGGCCGGGGGGGTGCAGTACCGTTGTTTGAGCGAGTGCTAGATATCCAGGAGGCCAAGTTGGGGCACGATGATGTCCAAGTTGCCAGTATGCTGCACGGGCTGGTTGTGTGTGTGCGAAAGACGGCGCGGCTGGCGGAAGAGTTGTTTCGGCAAGCGCTGGAGATCCGGGAGGCCAAGTTGGGGCCCGACGACGTCCAAGCTGCCAGTACGCTCGCTGCACGAGCTGGGTGTGTGTGTGCGGGAGACGGGGCGGCCGGGGGATGCAGTACCGTTGTTACAGCGAGCGCTTGAGATCAAGGAGGCCAAGTAGGGGTCCGATGATGTCCAAGTTGCCAGTACGCTGCACGAGCTGGGTGTCTGTGCGGGAGGCGGGGCGGCCGGGCGATGCAGTACCGTTGTGTGAGCGAGCGCTGGACATCAAGGAGGCCTAGTTGGGGCCTGATGACGTCAGTGTTGGCTGCAAGCTGTACCGGCTGGGTGTGTGTGCGCTCGAGGAGGGGCGGCCGGGGGGAGCGGAAGCTTTGTTCAGGCGATCCTTGGCAGTCTTTGTGGACAAGCTGGGGCCCTGCGACCTGCACCCTGCCCGGCATCGATGTAGAAAGGTAACCACGTATATTCCATCAGTCCTCAATTCTCAGACCCTCTCTTACGGGGTCCATCACTTGTACCCCTCGTACATACCTCGCATGCGACCCACACACGTAACCCCTCAGCCGATTTTGTACGGCCGAATTTTTTTTGAGCCAGGGGTGTCCCGAGGATTTTGAAAAAAAAAATACAATCAAAAAGTCATCAATCTCGAACGCGCGAGAAAACGCGGCAAAATGGGTGGCACCTGTAATTCGGTTACACTTATCAGTTCTTCGAGCCGATGAATGGGAGATCAGCATCGACGTTTTCGACTTATTCAGATGAGGGGTCACCCTTGTAAAAGATCTAGACCAACTCAACTCCGCCACGACTTGGACGCCCTGCACTAAAATTGGATGCACGCGGATACCCGGTTGATTCGCCCGGTTGGAGGAATTTCAACAAGGGTAAGGGGAATTCGCTTGACTTCCACGTTAACTGCCAGGGTATAGCTTTCAAGGCAACTTCGCTCACGTTCTTGGCCTCCCTCGTGAAACGTGAAAAAAAATAAGGAGCGGGAGGATAGGACGATGGTTGTGAAGGAGGGGGGAAAAGCAATAAAAAATCTTTTGACACTGAAGAAGAAAATGCTCTGATCAATTCAACACTCCAAAATCCCATCCTTCTTGTCCAGAAATGTTTGATATATCTTCCCATTCTTCGCAAGACCTCATTAGGATGCCCTCTACACTCGAGCTGCACAAGCTGTAACAACACGGCCTCGTGACGGTGCATCCCTAACAACAAAACCATTCTCTTCCTCCTACGGCGTACGAACACACACCTACGCGGTTCAGTTTCATGTTATCAATAAATTGGACCTGGAAGCTCGATTGGACGGGGGTCGGGATTCTCACTCCCGCCTACGCCAACTTCAACGTCGCCAACCATAGCATTCGACAATTGGTTCGCATCTTCAGCCTCCGTCACGTAGTACTGGAGCTCCGTGACGAGCTCCAGCACGGAAAACAGAGCAGAGAGTACCACCAGACCCGTGGCGTTATCGTCCCACCCCCCTGTCACAACGGAGAGTGCAAGGAAAAGTGGATCTACCCACAAGGTTTCTCCCACCGCGCGCACCATCGATACTTTTCGCCGATGTGCCACGTTCCGCATTGCCACTTCACGACGCCTGTGGCCTTGGGGAAAGCTCATCACAAACTCCCCAAAATATCGGAATGGGTGATAGAACAGTATCACGTCGATCGCGTGCAGGCCAAGGCCTGCTTCCTGCAAGGCTTGTCCCGGTACTTCTCCCGCCAGCCCAAAGGTACGCATGAATGGACTAGACCGAGCACGCGAACCGAACAAGGTCCACAGCAGCGAATCCAACAACAAATGCCAGGGTTTGGAAAGATTCACGCGTTGCCCGGCAAGGAAGGACACGCCAACATTGGAGAAATCAACAAAACCACAGGAAACCACAAAAACCATCAAACTCAACAGCAGTGTCATGAAGAAGAACGCCGTGTACGCGCGCTCGATGTCCGCGATGACAAATACGCAGAGGCATGTCCACCACAAGCCGCCGTGGCTACCTCCAAAAGTCACCCACAAGAGCCATAGGTCCGTCATGTCATCCAGCACCGGCAACGAGAAGTGCCAGAGTGAGGTCAGCACTCCCACGGCCCTCGACGCGTACGAATGGACCGCATCCTCGGATTGACCTGGGCAGAGGTAATCGAACAAAAACCACATGGTCACCATACAAGCCCGGAAAGGAGGATGCAACGAATCGTCCCTCGCCGCCCCACGAAGGTGTCGGCTACCCCCATCTCCAACAACACCCGTAGCATGCTTTACAGTTAGGCGTTGCCGGAAACACACCTTGTCGGATTTGAACCCATCGCAGCACCTCCTCCGGCTTTTCCACAAAATTTGAAGGCGGCATTGGGCCTGAGCACAGCGAGAAAGGGCGGGGGGGGGGGGATGGAAAGGCGCGCATCGGTGGCGCAGCCGAGAGAAAGCAGCAAGATACTCCCGGTAAGCTGTATTATTATTTATTATTATTATTATTTCGTTTGCCCTCCGACAATTGCAGATAAACCCCGACATACACAAATCATTTTTCGCAACAACCAATGAATGCCTCCAAGCTTAGATGAAGTCAAAGACCTATCGCGTCTGAAGTCTTCCGAAAAGTCCTGTAACCTATACTCGCAATACTGCATCCGGATGAAAATCAATCACTCCCCAACTAGTCCAACCGCAATCAAACAAAACTAGACCCATACCCCCTCGACGCTCCCGACAACACATCAACCAGAAATCCGCTATCCACCGTAGTGGTTAGGTTAAAGCTGTCACGCGCATATTTTGGCGCGCAAAAGTCTGTGCGGCATTGCTGATCGACAATGTTTCCGGTCACACCAAGAGAACAACGCCCGCCGTCCTGCTCTCTCTGAGGCACTCCCCCTGCAAACCCTCCTTCCCCCCCGCATCCGCCACCCCGCCACCCCGTTCCTACTTCCTCGCCACCTGCAACTGCAAGGGCCAAGCCCTCCTCCCTCGACGCTCCCGACAACACATCAACCAGAAATCCGCTATCCACCGTAGTGGTTAGGTTAAAGCTGTCGCGCGCATATTTCGGCGCGCAAAAGTCTGTGCGGCATTGCTGGTCAACAATGTTTTCGGTCACATCAAGAGAACAACGCCCGCCTTCCTGCTCTCTCTGAGGCACTCCCCCTGCAAACCCTCCTTCTCCCCCGCATCTGTTCTTGTCCTCTTGCAGGACCCATCCCGCCGAACATTGATGAGCTAGCAGCATTGCAGTCGCCAGCCTTCGGAACCACCAACCTACCGGTGAGAGACGTTTGAGCTTCAGATTTATTCCGCCAACTAGTTGGCGTACACACAGCTTTTCGTTCATGGGACTAGTTCGTACATTACCAATCATTTTACCTGTGAGCTTGTTGTTGAAGAGGACGAGCTCGCGCAGCTCGCTGAGAGCTCCCAGCTCCGGTGGGATGTGACCTGTAAGCGCAAATACGGAGTTTGTGTCACGGGACAAAAGATATATATTCCCTCGGGTTCTAGACCAGTGAGTGGACGCCAACACACTCAGGCGTTCCTGCGCATACCCTTCGCCTTAAAGTCGGTATTGTCGTCATGCTCACTAGGAATCTCGACATCTCCAACGGTCTATGCAATTCCACCAAGCTCGTGGTGTTGCACATCACCAATTTCACCTTGCGAGCGAAAAACTTGAAGGATGGTGTAGAGCATTTTATACCACGGATTACTTTCGGATTCATTACCAGGCAGGGCGTTGCTGTGAAGAGAGTCCAATTCCCTGTTAGACTATGTTTTGCCATTACGATTCACAAATCTCAGGGTCAAACGTTGGACAAGGTGCTGTTTGATAACAGAACCGACGTTTTCATGCATGGGTGCCTCTACGTCGCCTTGTCACGTGTTCGTGCTGCAAATGATATTCGTATTTTGGTAGAACCATGCCGCGTCTCTGCGGATGGGTTTGCGAGAGTTCTCAATGTTGTGTACAAATCGCTACTCAATAATGTGTGATTAGCCCGAATTTTTCAATGTGTGTCCTTTGTGCCACACGTACATATCATCGGTAGCCTTCCCTTTGTAGCTCGAATTTCTCTAATCCCTCAAGTGCTCCGCACCACTCTCGATACGTATCGACCGCGTGTTACTACATGCGAAACACGTTGCGAACCCCACTTGTCTGGCAAATGCCATCCAACCGGGTAAGGCAACAAGCAGGACGGCGCAGGAACGCCGCCGTCGTAGATATCGACGAGATGGTCCCCATGTTTGTCTACCGAAGGCGTGCAGCGCATTATGTCCCATGGAAATCCGGATAAAAAGTAGACGTAAATTCATACCAGATACGTGCGCAAACTGTCGTCAAGTATCCCTCCGGTACACCCTCTAATATCCCACAATAACACCTCCGTAATAGTAGTGTTGCCATGGTATTTCCAAAAAGTTACTCTTCGACATCACGGCCCGCCTCGTAGGCTTCCTATTCGTTAATATCTCCTCCACTCGCATCCAGTCATTATGTTTCAACAACGTACGACATCATTGTATTCATACGACGTGTGCGGGTTGGGAATACATATTCCGTACCATCATCGAATAGACGACCTACAATTCAGCAACCAACCAACAGGTTCACGACATCCACATGTTACTCATTACCATTTCCCCGGCTTGTACATGCGTTCTTGCCACCCATTCACAGTAAGTGCTACGCTTTATGCTACAGTCGAGGGACCCTTTTAGTGCCGGTTGAATAGTGCCAGATGCCCGGTATAGTGCCGGTAAAATCTCTGCACACAGGCGGAGCTCTCAATAGTGCCGGACCGGCACTAATTAAAGCATGCCCGATATAGTGCCGGTTCGGCACTGCTGTCACCCCCAATAGTGCCGGTACTCCGCACGCGCGAAACACACACACGCACAACCCAGGGCAGAAAACATAGACTCCACACACAGAAATAGGGTACACGTGCTGCTGCAGACCCGAACAGCTCTACACAGGGGCGTACCATGCCCTGTGCGGAAGGTGAACTGTGCCAACTACAGGACACCACGCCGCAAGACCCTCATGGTCACGGCTGCCAGGGAGGATGTGGCGGGCGACTGCACGGCATTTGCGGCAGTGTGGTTGATGTAGGCAACGAGAATCACCGCATCTGCAGCGCGTGCGTCGCCAAAGCCGGCAAGCGCAAAGTGTCAGCAGCAGACAGCACTGGGAAGGCACAATCTAAACGTCCGAAGGCCACGAATGGGGGGAGTAACAAGTCTCAGCCTCGTGCGCGGCCAGATTTCAGCGCCAAGTGTGAGATGCTGAAGCTGATGGATCAGAAGGTGACTCATGAGCAGCTAGCAGATCGCTTCAAGTGCTCGGAACGGTTGGTCCGGGATGTGAAGAAGA